CTATTTTTTTAATCATAAATTTTATTTAAATTAGTAATAAACTAGATTATGAAGCTACTGTAAATATTGACTCCCGAATTTCATCATATTTTAGCAAGATTTAGAGGCATGCATTAGTCTAATTATTTTGTGAATGTTGTTTGAGGTTGAAACCTAATAGAAACGACACCAGTATAAGAAAAGGGTAACATTTGTATAAGGTGCCCTTGCATCGTCGAAGTAAGGAGTGCCTCTAAAATTTGATTGGAGATATAGTTCTGGTGTCATAAACTTTGTGATGATTTAAAATAGGGATTTTATGCAAATAGACTATTTATCTTTTATATATTGAGGTCACAATCATTTTTGCCTCTTAAATTTTCAAATGGTTGGTTGTAAGAATGTCATTTTATAGACAAAAAGCTTCAAATCAAACATTCTTAACCATCCAATGTGACATTTAATGAGTGTGAATGATTGTAATCTTCACATAGAAAAAGTAAAGGAAAAAGTATAAATAAGGATGCTACCTTATAATGTAAAACTACGGATGCCCCTCAAAAATCCATCGGAAAAGGTAGTTTTAATGTTGAAAAACCATTTGATTGATCATCTCGACATCGAGAAGTATCACTATGAAAAATAAAAAGATTTTAAGTCTCAGAAATAATGTATTTTACAACATATTATCTACACCATCCATTTTCAAGATTTTCATATGTTTATAGATCTACTTGATTTTAACTATTTTTGAAATTTAAAATTTTATAATTAGATATAAAAATAAATTTTGAGATAATCCTAAAAACATTTTACATCAAAATTATATACCATGATAAATTTTGAAGGTGCACCTTACCTCTACACCTACGGATGCGTCCGTATGCAAACTGCACCCAAAAGTAAATAGTCTCACAATCCCTTTAAAATATACTTTATCTACGAAATTTAAAATTTCAAAAATGTTAGAAAATGTATAGATCTTCAAAAATTTAAGGGAAATTATCACAAATATATATATATATATATATATATATATATATATTTATTTATTTATTTATTTTTGTCATTTAAAAGCACAATTATGGCACTTTAAGTACCACAAAAACTAACCTATATTATACGGTATATTGTAAAAACTAAAATCTACCCATGTTATACGGCATTTTAATTACAATAAAAACTATCCAATCTTATACGGCACTCAAAATCCCATAAACCCTTTTATCTTCTGTTTATATATATCTCTTTCATTTTGCTAATTCTTTTTTATGTTTATCTCTTATTTATCTCTAATTATTTTTTATGTTTATATCTTCTTTCTCTCTTTAATTTTTTTTTTATCTCTTTTTTTTCTCTCTCTAGCTCTCTTTCTCTCTCCAAAGGAATTTGTATAACAATCTATGCGTACCTTACCCTCCCCTATAAAAACTCCCTTTAACCCCATCTCCTATGAAAATTAGACGGAGTTAGTTTTGTATGGAATCACGTTTGTTGAGTTGATGAAGTCGAGAGAGAAAAGATTTAAAGAGAGAAAGGAGAGATAAAAAAATTAGAGTGAGAATGAAGAGATAAAAATATTAGAGAGAGACAAATGAGAAAGAAAATTAGAGAGAGAAAGAAGAGATACATATAAAAAAAATTAGAAAGAAAAAAAAGATAAATGTAAAAAGAAGAATTAAAAAGATTGAAAGAAATAAATATAAATAGAAATAAAAGTTTATAGGATTTTGAGTGAAGTATAACACGAATTGGTTTTTACTGTATTTCAAATACCTTATAAGGTATCATGTGGGTTGGTTTTTATTGTACTTCAAATGCCTTCTAACATTTACTGCCTATAACATTTGTTGTCCTTGGTTTTTATTGTACTTGAAATACATATTAACATGGGTGGGTTTATTAAAAAGTTAGTTTTTACCGTACTTGATGTATCAGTAATTATGCTTTATAGCAATGGTTTAAAAACCGGATCGGTGATCCTGATCGGGCTTTTCAAAAACCGATCCGGATCGGCGAATCGGCGATCCGGATCGGCGAATCGGCGATCCGGATCGGAATCGGGTGAATCGGTCAGAATAAAGCTTCAAAAAAATCCGAAAAAATTATTAAAATTCATTATAAATATTGGTTTTTAGGAATTCAATAAAAAATGAGGGTACTCCATTAAGAATTTTCATGTTTTTGAATGAATATGCGAATATTGATATGTTCTTTCCCTACATGAACCGCCATTCAGCATTTAATTTACAGTATTTCGTGCTCATCCGTACACTGTTGCTGTTGGGACTCGATATGTGAATAATATGGCTGGGATAGGGTGGCCTCAGAATCATCATCTCTCTCGTTTTCTCTTTGAATAATATGGAATTAAAAAAAAAAAAACAAATTTTCAAAAAAATCT